TGAGAAACATTTTTTCTTTAAGGTATTGCTTTTTGTGTTCCGTCCAAGAACCGTTTGACTATCTCCAAGTCATGGTGATGTTCTCCTACATTTTTTTCTGAAGGCTTTATAGTTTAGCTTTTCACTTTTTAATCTGTCTCTAGTTTTTGTATACGGTGTGAGATGGGGCTGAAGTTCTCGGTCAGCCACACATACAGGTAATCCCACCCTTTTTGAGAGTTTGCGTTAGGCCGCATCACTTTTACAAAAGACCTACACCACTCCCTATTTTTGCTAACTGAAAGAAATAGAAGATTTTTGCTTTTACAAACACAAAAAAATGTGAAAAGTGAAAATAGTGTTGTTTGTTTTGCAGTACGCAGCGCTGTTTCAGAGGCAGCGCGCACCCAGAGCAGCGAGAGTGGTCCCCCTGAGCTCCTTCCCTGGGAACCACATTCAGCATATCTCAGCCTCCAGCCCCTGGGCTTTGAGTTGTGTCTGTGAGCATCTGTGCTTTATCTCGACTTGCTGTGTGCATCCCTTAACAAAATGTGTCCTAATGTAATTGTTTCTGCACTTTATGTTATTTTAACTCACAAAAGGTTTCATAAGAACAATCAACTTTTCACACCCTCATGACTGAATTTTAGTGCCCAGATGGTCCCAGGAGAAACAAATTAAGTTGAACAACTATTAAAAACTATCAACAGAAACTTTCCTTAGTGGCTATTCTCAGCACTAATGGTTATTATAAAGTGATCTGGCCTATATTGTCATATGGTAACTAATGTTTTGGCAGTGCCACCAAAAACAGAACAAAGTGGATTCTTGCCCAGTGGGAGCACCCCAATGTCACTGGAGGCATTACTGGATGGTCGTCGGAGCAGGTTCATGAGACTCCTCTTAAGAGCCCCCCTTGAATTATCTGGAAGAATAAGAAAATTAAAAGTTCTCAAAATCAACATATCATTCCATAAACCTTTAAATGAAGTTGAAACTTAGGTTGAAAATGCCAAGTTTATTTTAAACACTGGGTTATTATTGTTTTTCTAAATATGGCAAAGGGAGCTTAGTCATATAAAATCAATAAGTGTAACTGGAAGTATGAGAAAAGGAAAAAAGGTGGAGATGGGTGTGCGGGGGCATGAGAGCGTGACACGAGGTTGCCAGGCGGTCAGACACCTCCGTCATCCAGGGATGTGGAAGGAGCCTGGGGCAGTCACGATGAATGGGTCCTGACCTTCCGAAGGTGGTGGTATGGGTGGGTGGCAAGAAATTAGTAGATGAAGATGAGGGAAGAACAAAAGTCATGTTCACCAACTGAAATGTACTATTTTCTCTCTATCACTGGGGGACGGAAAAGGGGTGAGAACAAGACTCTTCAGTGTTGGGTAGGACAGAGGCTCTTTTGGTTATTGGACCTGACTGTGAACCCAATTTGGTCTCTGATTGGGTTATATGACCTGCAAAGGTGATTTTATTTTGCTGTCTGTGTTCACTCATCTATTAAAAAAATAAATAAAATAAAATAATAGCATGCTTAGATTAGATATGGATGAGTATTGAATAAGTGAATACTGCCTTCAATCTATCAAATGAGTAATATTTGCCATGAACCAGGGATTTTAATGTATCATCTATTTCAATTCTACCAAACTGTAATAGACAGTTTCATCTCCTACTGAAAGGACGTGACCAAGGTCACACAGGTAGTGCTGATAACTAGAGTGTTAAGTTTATCTTTTTATACCAGCCCACACTTCTCCCTCTGAATGGCTCTCTCTTTCTGTGATTTGTCTTGGTTGCCGACTACTGCACAGAATCCAGCACACTTTTTCACACAGGAAGCTGATACTGTATCCCCACCAAATAGTGACACACACCAAGAGTGGCCATTGCCCTTGTTTTAAGACCTCTTTTACCTCACCACCACTGGAACTTTCACCTAATTTGTGAATGTATGAATCCCAAAATACCTGGCCAGTCACAGTACAAATAATACTCATTGAATGGCTAATGGGTGCAGCAGGAAGTCATAGAATTAATTCTCTTTGAAATTCAGCATATTGTGCAAATTTGTTCTTATATCTTTTTATTTTTCTAAAAATTAGCATTTGGGGTGTATTTATATTATATTCAGTGAGGCTCACTATATTTTTTTCTCCAGTTTTATTGAGAAATGATCTCTGTGTAACTTTAAGGCATGCTGCGTGGTGGCTTGATTTATATATATTGTGAAGTGATTTACAAAATAGGTTTAGCTAACATTAATTTTCTCATATAGATAACAATAAAAAAAGAATAAAAGAAATTTTCCTCGTAATGAGAACTCTTAGGATTTACTCTCTTAATAACTTTTTTATTTATCGAATAGCAGGGTTAGCTACAGCCCTTTTACAACTGGAAGTTTGTACTAGGTTCCCCATTTTATTTTTTGTTTTTGTTTTTTTATCCCCACTGGATATTTTTCCATATATCTCAGAGTGGGAGGGAGGAAGAAAGAGAGGGAAACATCAATGTGAGAGAGACACAGGGACTGACTGCCTCCCACATGTCTGGGACCAGGGCTGGGGACCAACCGCAACCAAGGTACATCCCTTGACGGGAATCAAACCTGCGACTCTTTGGTCAGTGGGCAGATGCTCTAACTGCTGAGCCAATCCCGGCCAGGGCTAAGTTCACTATTTTTTAAAAACTATAAAATCTTCTAAAGTCAGTGCATGTGAGAGACAAGACCAAATTTACATTCTAAAGGAATGTAAAGAAAATGATTAAAACCATGAATAGTTAATTATCCAAAAGGTAAGTAAGGATCATCTATCTTTGATGCCCACATGCATTGCACTGAGAGCCATCAGGGTGTCTTGACTTAGGGAACATCTTCCCCTTTCACTTAACTCTCCTCCAAAAGGTCCAGGCTGCTGGCCTTCACTTGCATAGACACTGGATTTTTGTTTCCTTTGGTAGTTGTTGCTAATAACTGAGAAAACCCTATTTCCAATGTAACAACACTCTTGACACCATGTGCCAAATATCATCAGCTGTTGGTCACCTGCGTTGGCTCAACCTTTGGATGCGTCAAGACCAAACCATTTCTCTTCCTGGGAATAGGCTCCAAGTGCATGTTTCACCTGTGGAGGCCCAGTCCTGCTCTTTATTTCTGTGTAAAATAACATGAACACAGGCCAATGATCATTTTCATCAATTCATTTTGGATTATCTTCATAGACTCTATATGATAGGTACGATCCTAACTTTTGACTCATAAAGGTCCCTGCCTAGACTCTTACAGGTCTCAATACTGGTGCATTCTTCTCTGCTCTAGTCTGCGAAAATCTAACATAGAAAATCCTTTCAAAATTCTTCGACGTACTCCATTAAAAAAACAAAAACAATAAAACTTTATTTAAAGGGCTGCTCATCAAACTCTATTTTGAGATAAAAAAATGAAAGCAATAGCTATAATTCAGGTTTCCATTTTGAATTTAAAACGTGCATTCTTTGTGGTCTTGGCTTTGTTTTTTGTTTTTTTGTTTTTTTAATTGAACACTTTATTTTAGGAGACAATTTATAGAAAAACACACACATACACTGAATGTCAGCTCCAACCTAATTTAAACTGTTTACATATTCAGAGGGGAAAGGCCTAGTTGTTAACCTTGGTGAGGGTTGAAATCGCAGCTCTACAAAACAGATTTCTCTCCATTACAAGTAGACGCTACATAGAACAAGGGCTGTTGCTTGGCAGGTAACAAGTAAGAAGACGTTTTAAGTTATAGATCCCTGGTTCACAGACTTCAGCAGGCAACAGGTTCACTTGTGTGGGGGGGTCTGTTCAAACACAATGTCTGGGACAACCCCCCAGCCCCCATCTTCTGATTCTGTAGGTGTGGGGGCCCTGGAAATTACACTTCTGACAAGTACACAGCTGGTGCAGATGCAACTGTGGTTGCCGACCCCACTGAAAACCAGTCATAGGGAGGCTCATCTTAAAAGGCAGAATTTGTTCCCACAGAACCAGTGTAACACCTACACTTGATCCTGAAGCAAACCCCTGAATGAAGAGCCAGTAGATACGCCCTACCCGGGGAGGCAGGTCCCCAGGCGCACGGGGTGTCCCCTGCCCGTGAGGGAGGCTGAAGGACGGCTGGGACTCACACAGAGCATCTCAGGACTCTCGGCCAGGACCCTCCCTGCCGGCCCGGAGGCTGCCCCCCGGCCCCGAATCACAGCCTTGGGCCTGAGGACCGGAGTCGGGGAGGATGGAGGGGGACAGGGAAAGACCGAAGTGGACAGTGAAGGACGGAAGGGGGCAGACGGGATTGGAGGGGAGACGGGGGCAGGGCGCCCGGAGGTCGGAGGAGGAGTGACAGTGGGGCAGATAGAGAAGATGGAGAAGGGGAAACGGAGAACAGCCGAGCTGCCCCGAGGTTGGAGGAGGGTGGACGGGGGACACAGGGACGAGCCAGTGACTGGGACCCGCCGGGCTCCCCTCGGTCCCACCGCGGAACTCCGAGCTACTCGGCGTGAGGCAGGGGGCGGGGACCGAGTGACCAGCCCGGCTGACACCGACCAGCTCTGAGTGACGAGGGCCTGGGTGACCGTTAAGCGGCCGGGGTGGCAGGGGCTGACTGGACAGGGACGACAGGACCTGCTCCCTCGGCCCGGCCACCGGCGCAATGAGCCGCTCGGCAACACACCTCCCAGCACCGACTCCTCCGGCGTGAGGCGGCCGGCGCCTTAAATACCCTGCTAAAAATAGCCTGGGAGGCTACCTTCCAATCAGAGATGCCCGAAGTTCGATTTGACCAATGAGGAGGGCCGTGATGGAGAGGCTCGGTCACGCCAGGCGGGGCCGCGGTGAGCCGGCGCCCGCTATTGGCTGCAGCTGACATCATCGGCGCGCAGCCCCCGGGCCGGGCGCGGCGTGATTGGGCGGTGCGCGGGGCGGGCCGGACGAGTCACGTGGGGGGAGGGAGTAGGGGGAGCTAGGCGAGGAGGAGGGGGAGCTGGCAGCGGAGGTTTGAATAGGGAAGTTTTGCAGGGGTTACGTTTGCAGTCAGTCCGGTGTTTGCAAATATTGTGTGGGCTCGCGAGCGCGGCTCTGGACTCCGGCAGGATCTGAACCCGCGGCGCCTCATTGCACTGAGTTTGCATGAAACTTTCCCCGCGCTGCAGGCACGGCCGCTGCGCTCCCGACTCCAGACCGCACACCTCCCTGTTGGTACAACATCGGGGACTGTCTTTTCCAAACCGACATGGATGTACTCCCAATGTGCAGCATCTTCCAGGAACTCCAGATTGTGCACGAGACCGGGTACTTCTCGGCGCTGCCCTCCCTGGAGGAATATTGGCAACAGGTAAATAGGAATTGTGTGCCAGGTGCCCGGTGCGCCGCGGAGGGAGTGCATGCACACAGGACAGGACGGTGTGTGGTTGGAGGTGCATTGCTTTTTCTTTTTTTAATGGTTTGGGTAAAAAAAAAAAAAAATTTAAATTTAAATAATTAGTCTTAAAACGTACTCCTGCTGCCTCCGGTGCGGGAGGCACTTTAAAGGGGCCTTTTTTCAAGCGTGGAGCGGAGTTGTCATTTGCGTGGGGCGCAGCAGCGCTTCGTCGCTCCCAGCGTTTTTGCCCATTTCTGGGGCTTCTGAACCGGAGGGGCAGACCCAGCTCCGCCGCCTGATCCCGATCCGAGCCCTTGGCAGAAGTTTGGTGCTTGTACCAGCTCCAGACTACACAGCTGGGACTTGTCATTTGAACTTGCGTGAAAGCCAAGGGTATTTTTTTTTTTTTTTGAGATTTGTTTTTGTTTTCCTTTTTGGTCTTTGTACTTAGAGGGTTTTTTTTGTTGTTGTTGTTTGTTTTTAATTAGAAATTTCACCAGCAAAACAGCCACCAGCTTCCTTTCTCTGTCAGGCCATTTCCAGTTGCTTTTTTGGAAATCTTAATATTTACCTCCATCTGCGTTGTTTTTCTTACCTGCTTCTTTTGTTAACCAAAAACAACAACAACAACAACAAGCCAACAGTGTTTGCACAATCAGTGACTTATCAGTCATATGACAATGAGCCCTTCAGGTCTGAGTTTGGGAAGAAGAGCCTCGGTTTCCGGCATTTTTCTAGGGAAACTGGAATTTGGGGTATTAGACAATTTTGAAACTTAATTTTTTCCCCCTTCTAATTTGTTAGGATTGCCGGAAGGGAGAGAGATTTTGACACTTGTCACATTGTTTTAATTTTTAAGATGGAAGGGGCTTTCTGCCCTGCTAGACTGTTGGCTTTTGTCACAAAATACAAATATGTTCTGTGGATTTCAAAGCCTGGAAAGCTTTTGAGAGGGATGAAATGCAATGTGTGGCAACCTTCAAATGCCTGCTTAATTGTTCTCAGTCCTGTCCTGCCTTCCTCTCCCCTCCCCCCTTTTCCTCCTTAAGAAGCTGCTCCCTAGGACGTGATTGAAATTGATCTAAGTAGTTTCCTTCGGGCATTTGGGATTTGGGCCACAAGCCAGGCTGAGCTCTCCTTCCCTTCAGAGGCTTTTAAACTCCGAGAGCTTCCTTCTGGTCCCCAGTGCTCATCAGCATAATGGAGATTTTAAATTAGCCAGATGATAAAGTTTAACAAGATCTCAATAAATGTGCTTTTGTTTTTTCTTTGGAACATCCATAAAATATCTAGCCGTTTCTCCTCAGAACACCCTAGTGTGTGTTGTAACCCAGACATACAATTTTAGGGGTAAAGAGAAAACAATGGTTGTTTTTCCCCCTTTGCTTGCTCATGCTTGCTCTGTGAGGATTCTGTGGGGAGGGGGAAGGGTTTGTGCTTATATTATGATAGCAGGCACGTTGCTAAGAAAGCAAGCATGAGCCCTTTGGGTAGCTTAGCTAGTCCTGACCATGATTTGCTAAAAACAGCGGAGTGGGTTGTAGAAATTTAAATCTGTAAAATTGCGGTCGTATAGACAACCTTATATGGCCATGCAGGCAACTGAACCTGGTGAAGAGAAGAGCAGATACAATTTAATCCTAAAATGTTTCCTACCGTTTTTCTTTTCCAGTGGCTAGAAAGTTTGAGATGGTGGGGAGAGGGGATGCTGGTCTCTCGGCAGTTGTAGCTTCTTGAAAGGTTGGTTGTGGGTTTGGGGAGGGGGCACTCTGTCCATGACACACTGCATGTATATCTGAACTGAGTTCTTTTTTGGCTGCTTGTCAGAATTTCAAAAGGAAGTCTCCTCTGGCATTGCGTGAAAGAAATAGAGTGATGACTCATACAGTTGTACTCTTGGCCAGTAGATAAAGTTCTTGTCCATTGTGGCACTCCCAGCAGGACCCGGAGGAATTTCCCCTCCTGCATCCTTTACAATAGCAGATGGCCATTCTGGAATGATTTCTCCACTCTGTTGTTGAAGCTCTTGTTTTTCTCTGACCACTGTGGAAGTCATTAAAGTTGTGTGCGCCCATGACCCTGCACTTGGGAATGGCATTCTTTGAAAACCTACCAGGTCTGGGCTAAGCTAGAAATGGGTGGTTTCTGTGCAGCTCCATTGATGTCCTTGAATATAGACCATCAGCTTGCTGCGTCTGCTCACTGAGTGTGGCCCTGTGCTGTCAGCTGTGTCTGCAAAGGGAGACACATGCAATGTCAGAACACATTGCATTGCGTGTGGTGCAGCCTTTCTGTCTTGTGCTTGAGAAAGGAGGATGGCTGGGGCTTCTTTTAATTGAACATGGTTCTCGAGACTGTCAGATAATCTGGCTAAACCTGTCGGGGGTGTGTGTCTGAGGCTGGTTTTCTTTGTGTGGTTTACAGAAACTCATTAGAAATGTCAACACTGGTAACTATAACAAAAACTGGCTTAGTGACCATCAGTCACTGTGGCCTTTGGTCCAATATGGTATTTCTTCTGAATCCATCCCCATTCCTAGAAACAGCTTTCCTCTTGCTCTCCTAAAGACATGGTTCTTATAGTGACATGGCCACAGTCTGTTTGCCCTTCATCCCTGCATGTTTTTGGAAATATGCTTTCAGTTCCGTTTTCAGTTGTCATAATCACGTGCCTTCTTGTGGTTCCTTTCACACAGACCTGCCTGGAGTTGGAACGTTACCTCCAGAGTGAACCCTGCTATGTATCAGCCTCTGAAATCAAATTCGACAGCCAGGAAGATCTGTGGACCAAAATTATTCTAGCTCGGGAGAAAAAGGAGGATCCGGAAGTGAAGGTTTCCTCCAGTCCCCCAGAGGATGCCCTCAGCAGCCCCAGCTTTGGCTACAGCCTGGAGACCAACAGCTTGAACTCGGATGTGAGCAGTGAGTCATCTGACAGCTCTGAGGAACTCTCACCCACTTCCAAGTTTACCTCTGACCCCATCGGCGAAGTGCTGGTCAATTCGGGGAACCTGAGCTCCTCAGTCACCTCCACGCCCCCTTCTTCTCCAGAACTGAGCAGAGACCCTTCTCACTTGTGGGGCTGTGCGCCTGGTGAGCCGCACCCTCCAGGGAAGATACGAAGTGGGACTTCGGGGAAGCCGGGTGACAAGGGCAGCGGGGACGCCTCCCCAGATGGCCGGAGGAGGGTGCATAGATGCCACTTTAACGGCTGCAGAAAAGTTTACACCAAAAGCTCCCACTTGAAAGCACATCAGCGCACTCACACAGGTCAGTCCCTCCTGCGACCTGGGAGGTGGGCCGCTGGTGGGCGCCACTGAATTGCACCAGCCCTGGGAGGGGGCCGGGCTCCGCTGAAGGCTGTCAGAGCAGACACAACCTCACCTCACTCTTTCCCCAAAGAGTTGGGTCTCTGGGGAAGACAGAGTAGGAGGTGAAAGACTGGACTCGATGAATGGTTGACACTTTCAGAGTAAACAGACAAGAGGTAAATCACGTTCTCCATCTCCACCCAACCCCCTCCCCACTCCAACCCTCCCAGTTATCAGGACTCATTGTGATAATGTTACATGGAGTTGCCTCTGATTTTTTTTAAATGAAATTCAAGGTTCAGGGGAGAGGGTGGCTGGGCAGCATGGAGCACGTTGGTATTGATGGCATGAGGATTGAGCTTGACCAAAAACTCCATATGTAGCAGTTTTGATCAGTGGGTGCTCACTGGGAATTTCTCTGAGGATCATGCTGCTTTTGTTTTCTGATACCAATTTTTAAAAACCATAAATAAATAAAACAACTTTTTAATGAAATACCACAACCTAGATGAAAGTTCCATTTTAAATTGCCACTATAGTCTCTAGGTAACTGGTGATGAGTCACAGAAATCTTAAAGCTGGAAGGGATCTTAGAGATCAAGTCACTCAAGTTCTCGTCTTACCAATAATGAGAGGAGATGGCTGAGCCCTCAGTCAGGGTCCCCAAAATGCTCATGGCAGAGTGGGATCCCAACAGCATTCTCTAGGACTGGTTTTGGCAAAGTGCTTAATAACCTCAGATAGCACTTTCAGTCAATTCATATGTATAACCTGACCAAGGAACAAAGTGGACTTGGTTCTTTCATTGCCATTTAGAAAGTTCTTTGAAGGCCCTGGATGGGGTTTCCCAGAAACTCATGACTTCAGCTCTGGAGAAATGCAGTTTCTCGGAGGAAACAACAAAGCTCATTCCACAGGGAAGTGAGTAAGGAGCAAAATAAGTACTTGGGAGAAACCGTTTCCATGGCGAAAGCAATAAAACCCTGCCCTCTCAGAGGCTGTGGGTCCAGTGGGCTGACACATCACCTCTGAAGTATTTCTCCAGTCTGAGTAATCGTCTTTCTTACATGTTAACTGAATACGGTCATGTGGGCTCTGGGTCCCTTCCACAGCACTTGGAGGCCTGAGGCGAGGTCAGGAAAGAGCTCCTGGGTGTTATCTTCTGAGCGCCAGCTGCTGTTCCTAATTGAGGTGTGTTAGGACTTCCTGAGGCCACCAGACCTGGAGCTTACTAATGAGTTGCCTTTCACCATGTGCTGTTGTAGCAGGGCCCCTTCCCTCACTGGTCAGTGAAGTCATGGCATGCTTGTCCTGTGCTCTCTTCCCAGGAGAAAAGCCTTACAGATGCTCATGGGAAGGGTGTGAGTGGCGTTTTGCAAGAAGCGATGAGTTAACCAGACACTTCAGAAAGCACACTGGTGCCAAGCCTTTTAAATGTTCTCACTGTGACAGGTACGTGCTTGAAGCTCTGGGTTTGGGAATGTCATCCCGGTAATGGAGTAGGCACACAGTACACCTGCAGGGAGGCAGATGTTTTCCATCCTGTATTGGTCTTTTTTTAGCCTAGGCCTTTAAAAAAACTATCTCTAATATGCCAGTTGTCCAAGTTAGGATGCCCAGCGTCATGTGTGTGTAAAACGAGAGTGATTTCATTCCTACTTTCTGAAGCTAGGCCTTCAGTGGTTTTTGAATTTGAAGACTGGGCAGTAAGGTCAGGTCAGATACTCCAAAGAATTGAATGGAGACCTTAATTTATATTCCTTTCAGTTGGAATTTCCTGCCCCTGGAAATGAATTGTGATGATTCAGTGGATTGCCAGCTTCTTTTTTGAGAAGGGCTCAGTGCAGGCGGTCATGGTGGGAGGTCTGTAACCCAGCAAAGGCCGGGGACCTAACCTTTCTGATGCTGATTGGCTCTGCAGGTGTTTCTCCAGGTCCGACCACCTGGCCCTGCACATGAAGAGGCACCTCTGAGGGAGCAGAGTGTGAATCCTGCGACTAAAACGGCTTCCAGGCTGAGAGACGGCCATGGGAGGAGGGTGCGTGTTCCAGCCAAAGCATGCCATTTTGCACCCCAGCCAGTTGCCTCCAGGACCTCTCCTTGGAAGGTCTTTCGAGGGCGAAAAAAGTCATGTCAGAAGCGGCAGAGCGCCTGTGGTGTGTGGTGTTTGGGTGGCCTGGACTCGCCACTGGTACCTAACTTCTGAGTGGTCCCTAAGCCTTTGCCGTGAGCATGTGCACTGAGAATGTTAATGGTTGGGTTGACTGTATGTGGAGGGTCTATTAGGACTGTGTGATGAGGCAGAGTCTTTCCTGTGCAGTGGCAAGACTGCAAGAGAGAGAAAAATGTCGTTTGAATGTTTTGTGTGTGATGGGTAAACCATGAGATGAGATGACCACCAATCATTTCCTGGGGGGAGGGGGTTGTCTGCGCCTTAGGGAAAGAAAAAACAAAAAAAAAAGAAGGGAAAACGTGGAGGGCGGGAGTGTGTGAATGGTCAGAACCCTTCCTGGCGAGTGGGTGTGGGAGGGGGAGCCCTCCTGTGTGTGAGGAACCTTGGCGTCTGGTGCAGCTATGAAACGTGCAATGTGTCAAGTAGCTTGTTCTACTGGCTACAACAGCTCATTTGTTACCCGTTGTATAAGCTGTGTATTTACAAATATAACACAATGGTAACCTTTCCTTATAAGACAAAAGTAATGCATGGTCTAGGGAACTTTCTGCTTTTCCATTTTTAAATCAGAACTACAATTTTGATTCCAGTTATTGAGCAGCTAAGATACAATTTGATGACATCAATGATCCCTAGCCATCTGGGCCTGGCAATACACAATTTCTCTCCCCTTCAATTTTGTAACACTCCCCTTCCAGAAAGGTGGTGTGCAGCATAGGATTATTTTTTAAATGACTTTGAATTTGATGACCTTTTTGGAGAATTTAGTGATGCCCTTCGAGACATCGGACACACGCTGGGTGTCAAGAATTCGAGGGCCGGGAACTCCTGGTCTAACGTTACATTAGACTAAGAACCTAAAATTTTTCTCAGTTGGGTGGATAAAACCACTAAAACTTAGAAAGTGTTTTCTCATGCAGCTACGTTTCTCTTATTTATGCCTTGAGGACTAATTTCTGGTTTTCTAGCTGTTAATGCACTGTAGATCTTAATAATGGTGCCTTATGCAAGTGGCCCCTTATGTGGGGGTCTCATACAGGGGTATGGGTGATGCATGCTTTATTAAGGCTCTTTTTTCACCTGGCATTGTACTGTATCAATGTAAAATACAGAAAAAAAAATCTCTTCAAAAGTCCTCCTTCACAAAGACAAATAGAGAGATGAAAACCCCTCCAAACAAATCAGTATTTACTCAATATTTTAGATAACTTGACCGTCAGTGTTAAAGTGAAAAACACATGGTAATTGGAAAATCTGACCATTTCTGCCACTATGAGACTTTCATATAGACTTTGCACAACAGTTGTATAGATTATACACCGACTGTATTTAATATGTAATGTTTTCACGCATATTAAAGATACAGAAATATAAAAAACAATGTTAATGTATTTGCTTAAAAGGCACAAGTTTCACATACCTATCTAGCTATCTGTTGGTAATACAGAACGTATATTAATTTTTTTTTAAGTGGGCAGAATTCTTGTGTATGTATATTTGTGTGTATAGTATGTATATGTGTGTGTGTGTATATATATACATATATATATAATATATAAATATTTTTTTAAGGAGAAATTAGATGTTTAGCTAGAAAATTCACAGCCTGTGAAGAAATATTTCAAAATGGCCATAAAGGAGGTAAAAATGAAAACTATAACTTTTATAAAGGCTTTATCTTTAATTTAATGATTTGCTACAGACTTTTGCCATGGACTCTGTTCCAGACTGCTGACTTTGCTCATCTGTATTGGCAGGTCTGGAACCAGGGTACTATTGGCTGTTCAAAAATGGCATGAATGGAATACTAGCCCACAAGTTGGTCTCAGATACACTATGGTTTTGATTTTGAATTTCAGCCTTATTAGAAGATCTAAGAGTCAGCTAATTACAGGGATTTTTTTAGAAAACTTTTTATGCAGATGAAGATTTTTTTTTAGCACATAGATTCTTCCAATTTTTCCAATGAATAATTTCCCTGAATTGGCACACCACAGTGTGGACAGCTGATATTTCATCCAGCTGCTCGCTTGTGGGTGTGGATCTTTTTTTTATATATGTATATACATATATATACACATGTGAGTCTGGCCGGGCTGGTATTTTGTTTGATCTTCCTGGAAATGAGCAATGATGAAAGCTCGCATAACTGGTTTTTTATCTGTGCTGATAAATACACTTACCTAAAGAACTCATTTCATTTTGCTAAGGGGGAAAATGCACTTTGGCAATTCAAAATCCAGACACTTGATTTGCTGGATTTTGGAAAACTCCTTTTTTGGCCCTGCTGTGCGCCTAGCCATAACAATTCCATTAAGCAAGAAGGTAAACAAAAGACAAAAAGGAAAAAAAAAACCAACTTGCACTGGCTTGTCTCACTTATGAAACACCATGGAGTTGTTTGATTGGGTGGGGCTGGGTGCCGTGTATATGCCTGTAATTTTCATAATAAGCAAGTACATAAAGAATTACATTCTGTTCAGGTGATAACTGAGCCTCAATCAAGCAGAAACTTTTTGCTTGACATTAAAAAAAAATTTCTATTAGTGAAATTTCTTTTTTTTTGAAGCACCCTGTTATCTAAAGAATCTTTGTAAGATTTTTGTAAAATTTTGTTTTACAAGATTTTATTTGAAATTGTTTTTTGCAAGATTGTTATATTTCTGTATGAATGTATTTTTTATTGGAATAACATAAAAGAATTCTTATCAGCATCTTGACTCTGGTTGTTTTTTTCTTGGGAGGGAGGGGGGAGTTGAAACAAATTCCTGCTCTATTAATCAACCTTAGGAAATCTCCCTTGTGCAACCCTGAAAGCCACTGGCCTGCCTCTTCCCTTCCTTTCTGCTTCACAGCCTGACCTGGGGAGCTAATGTGCAAAGAGCAGCCTGATGTTGCTCCTCTGAAATGCACTGAATTCCCTTCTCCAGAGACTGACGGAAGCAACCACCAGGCTTCGGGGCACAGTAGGAAAACATTTGCTGTGTTTTATCTTCCTGTCATTCCAGCCAGGGGAATAAACTGCAGAGGCATCTGCACAATGACAAACTTGAAGCCTCCTTTCCCTTCTTCGTGCTCCAGTAGCCCTGTTCCAGTTAAGCAGTTAGATCAGGGCCAGCTCTCTCTGACCTGGCCCATGCACCTGGCTGAGATGTCACTGAGGAAGGCAAAAATGACAGAGGAGGGACAGCAGGCCCAAAAGCTGTCCTGGATTTCTACAACCCATCCTTCATACCCCCTGCCTTTTCCGGTTAGACGAGTAAAATGGCACAAAGTGAGAGATTGTTTACATGATCACCAGATGATTTTATATCTTTATTTTAAGGCCAATGGGATACATTGAAGGTAGAGTTTGAAAACATAGTGCGCTTTTGATTTTTAGAAGGGTTTCGTGTAAGTAGCATTAGATCTTGGCCCCAGTGTTATTGTGTGATTAGTAGCATCAGTTTATCTGCAAGTCTGTTTTCAGGCCATATTAAGCTAATCAGTAGTAATAGGTAAAGGCAATGTGTGCTTTCTAGAAGGGGCTATAAGACGGTGGAAATTTCCATAGGAAAGAAGTTCTCACTTTTCAGTTGCTTTAAGTGCTCATGACTTCTCTTCATAGCGGATCTTTGTTTTGCTTGATGCACAGACTACACTAGTTGCTTTTAATTTTATAATTGGGGAGGGAAATTTTAAATGCATCCCCAGATTAGGAATGTTAAGTGACTTTCTCTCTAGAACTGCAGTAAAAATATCAGCAATTCGGGAGGAGTTGTGGCGTGGGAGGGTGAAGGAAGCAGATGAAAATTTGGCCGGGACTCATGGGTGTGTTGTGTTCTGAAACACATGTCAGGATGACTAATAGTTGGATTGCCCTGACTGTACAGCTAAATAAAGGCTTGATAATGCATTCTCGGCTACTGGTAAGACTTGACCACTTTGTCATGTGCAGACTATGCCGAACAGCTCAGTTATGTTCAAATAAGGCTGTTAAGAGAACTGTTGTGCAAGGAATCAGCTGTAAACCCAGCATATTTATAGGAGTATAAAAAATTTCAGTCTGCTTAACAAATTTTTTAAAACCTAGCTCAAAGAAAGGAAGTGTTCCTGTTCTAACTAGTTGCTGTGTGTTCTTGGACAATTTGCTGAGCTATGACGGACCTCCATTTTCTTATTGCTGACATATTTTGAGCTAGCTCACATGTATCTAGCATTTTATATAGCACTACAATTCTGTGGACTTTGAGTATAGGGTGGACTTCAAATTACAGGTTCACCATTCACAGATAACTCTACTCAGATCTAGAAAGCTTTCTCTTGTGCTACAGTAGAAAGTATTGTTGAGAAAATTGCTCTGACTTAGAACTGAAAGAGAATGTTCTCAAATTGCCCTTTGCCCCTTTAATTACAGTTAAGTTATTCAGGCATTTGGTGCTTTATAGCATGCCATTATTTTATTTCAAAAATAAACAAACAAACAAGAAACCTCTGAAAAGTACCATTGTAGCCATTGCAGATTCAAATCTCTCAAATTCCCCCAATTCACCAATCTTATTCCACACATCTAGGCTGACCTACGTGCTAAAACAGTGGTGGAGGTAACTAGGGACAAATTGTTTACCTTTGTATTGTGGTTGCTATGGAGAAAAAACATACCTTTCATATGTAACTCTTTTCTTAGGTTCTAACCTTATGGCACCACAAACTATTTTTCTTTAACAACCCTGCTTCCCAAACTAAATTCTTCCTCTCCCCAAACTGGGTAATAATGAAGATGATAATATCTACTACTTTTTGTGCCTTAAACAGGAATTGGGCAGGCACTATGTCATAGGGGTGTGTGTGTGTCCTATAGAATGCCACATGGTAGGTGCCATTCTTATTTCACAGATGAGGAATACTGAGGCTTCAGGAAGTTAAACTACTTTCCCTAGGAAGCTACAGGCAAGCATCCAATCCAGGGCTCTCAAATGCCAAAGAAAAGACCAAGGTGTTAATCACCACTGAACACTGCTTTCTGTCACCCACATTCCCACAAGAGCCTTCCACCCCTTCTGTCAAATTCACCCTAAAATGAAGTTACATTTATAAAATGGAGACAACTTTCTTACAATTCAGAAGCACTAAAGCTATAAACTGTGCTGTAATTCTGAGCAAACAAAGTACGCATTTTGAATTGCTTTCAAGATATGAGACAGATGGCATGTATTTATTTTTAATGTTTAAGAAGATAGAGAACACAATTGGGGATGTGACATCCTGCATTAATTGGCAAGCATCACCTAATGTACGTAGTTAAGACACAAAGAGAGGAAAATTAGGTCCATGTATCACCCAAATGAGGCAATACAACAAAGTGTATTTAACTAGATTTATTTTATAACATGTTCTCTTTCACTCTAAGTAATTTTAATGAGAATTCTCTAAACAACTGTGAATGAAAAGAGACAAAGAGAAGAAGGAATCTGGGTACCACATGTCCTGATAGGAACCACACTGGGCTGAGCCATCACCAAAGAATTTTCAATAACAGATTTAACTAGCATGCCCATTGTCACTGAGTTTCTCTCCAAATAGGTGGCTAAGCCTTGCACTGACTTCCCTGTATAAAACCCACAAGAAAAATTTAAAAAATCATCATAATCATAATAATATACCACATGATCTAGGATTATTCCTTAAATTAAGAGCCCCAATTCAAAGATGCCATGAACAAACAATTAGTAACTTTTTAAAAGGCTCAGCTGCTTAGATAATGGACTACTGTGCATCATGCCACACATCAGCTTTTTCTGAAGGTTGTGCTAGCTAGATGCCCCAGCACATTTATCTATGGCTTACATTTATCAGCTAAGCATAGCTCTGTTCCCCTCCATTGCTTAAGTTTCACATTACCACATTTCACTTGAGTTGTGCAAGGCTTCCCTGCAGATGTGTAAGATAGGTAGTGACATGCACGGGCATTATCAATTAGTTCAGTGTAAAAACAGGTGCCATTGCCCAGTGCCTTTTTTCTGTTTGTGTTGGTGAGGAGCTGAGAGCACATGGGATAGGTAAGATGGCAGTGATGGCAGTCTGCCCTATCGTCCCTTTCATAGGGGAATGTAAAACCTTCTTCACTTTTGCCCCATCTTCATTGTATGATTCACCATCCTCCCCAAAATAGGTCATTTATTCACAAGCTGCAAAGTCAGAGCAAGCCTGCTCACCATAAAACATGCATGTATTTTAACTGTCCAAAGTTAACTCTTAATGGTAAAATTGCCTTTGGGCAAAACTGAAATGTACAAATCATTTAGTTAAGGTACATTTTAAAAACCTTAGTGTTTGCTACAGATTTAAAATACTGAATAATGACATGCCAATTTTAAGTATCTGTCTTTATGCTCTATTGGAAGATGAAGACCAGGTAACAGGAGATACTGGAGGACTCTTGGGACAAGAGGCCCCTGAAAGTCCAGCACTTCTGAGGTTGCCCCAGCAATATCCTTCAGCTCTAAATGGTTTGAGCAGAGGTGCAGTAAGAAGGGTGACTGCAGCCTTTGCTAAGTGGAATAATAGCACATGAGGATGGTTCTAGAGGACATACCACCTACCTTTGGGTGTCTCCAGTTTATGATGTCACACATTCAAACTCTGGGTATGTCAACAAGGTGGACTATGGGAAGAGGTTCCAGTCCCCTTTTGAGAGAAATGTTCTTGGGGTTTAAGAGAGAAAAGAATGCCCTGGCCAGTTTGGCTCAGTGGTTAAAGTGTCGGCCTGCAGTCCAGAGAGACCCGGGTTCGGTTCCCGCTAAGGGCACGTACCTCGGTTGCAGTTTGTCCCCGGCCCTGGTTGGTCGTGCGGGTGGCAGCCACTCGATGTGTCCCTTCACGTTGATGTTTCTCTCTCTCTTCCTCTCTCTCTCCCTCTCACTCTATCCGTACAAAAAATGGAAAAGTGTCCTCGGGTGAGGATTAAAAAAAAAGAAAGAGAGAGAAAGAATACCAGCAGCTTCTGGTTCACCCTAGATCATTCATGACCCAGATCCTGAGCTTCATGCAGTTAGCAAATCCAGAATGTTCCTTTTTAAAAAAATGCCCGGTTGTGGCTGGTTTGGCTCAGTGGTTAGAGCGTCGGCCTGCGGTCCAGAGCGACCTGGGTTTGGTTCCCACTAAGGGCATGTACCTTGGTTGCAGTTTGTCCCTGGCCCTGGTTGGGTCGTGTGGGTGGCAGCCACTCGATGTGTCCCTTTCACGTTGATGTTTCTCTCTCTCTCTCTTCCTCCCACTCTATCTGAACAAAATATCGAAAAATGTCCTTGGGTGAGGATTAAAAAAATAAATAATAATAAAAAAAAATGCCCATATTCTAGTGACCAGCTGGAGTGGCACCTGGAAGTCAGAAAACTGTACAAGAACATAGGGATGTTGTTGCCCAAACACCCTGTAGCCCTTTCTTTAAATTGTGAGTTCCCTTGGAAATGTTTAATGGTAACACAATCTCAGAGTTACTGCTTTTTTAAAAAAAAGATTCTAAGAGTTATATTTGCCAATACAGGGTATTTATTTTCCTTTTATGTCCAGGGGAGCCTTCTCACATGGAATTTATGAGTAGAAGATTCACTAATTCTTGGCTTTGTGATGGTGACTTCAACCCTTTGAACTTTGTTTTTCTCATCTCCAAAACGGGACAATGGGAATCCTTTGGGCATTGTTGGAAGACTAGAGATTAGGTATATAGGGA